GTTTTCTGTCTTCACCCTCTTTTACCAGATATTGAGGTAATATATTTTAAACGGATTACATAAAGTATGTGAAAGCCATAACCTATGTATGTGGAAACTGGGTAAAGAAGGAAAATTGTAGTATTTACTAATAATAGAGATAGAAAAGTGGTAAGACTACACTCTAAGTCTAAAACCTGTGATTATATGAAAGAGAGAGGTGGGAAAAGAGACAGTGTGATATGGTCAGGTTTGTGAATTCTAGAATAAATCATGCTGATAACCCAAAGGCTGCATGTCTCCAGTTATTCGAATCCATCAGTGGCTCCTCAGAAGAATCTTCTCGTATTATGATTTACAGCCTCAGAAACCTCATGGAGGGTTGAATGTTTTTCTGTCCTGTAGAGTCAAATCACTTGAATGGTTCTTTGATTGGGTTGGAGGCTCTGTATGTAAAGTAGGTTTTAAATTAAAAAAAAGCCTTGTTTCATTCTAGAAACTCTTCTTAGATTTCTTTGATACTTTCCTATTGTTCTCCTATCTCTTACTTTTTAAATACTTACCCTTTAAAGATAATGTTCAAGTATTTTATTTTCTACTTTTTTTCTATTTTTGGTCTTATCCTTCCTTGGGTTCTTACATATCTTTATGTCATTTTCTATTATCAAGATGCCAACAATTCTCAAAATTTGCCCATTCAGAATGTTCCTATTACCTCTCTTCCAAGCATGTACTTGAAATTATCAGGGATTATGGCCTGATTTTGTCCCTTATAATTAACTTGCACATGCCCAGTATAGTCAGTGTTTGTAACCTCAAATGCACACATAAAAATCATCTGAATAAATAAAATAGGTCCATCTGTGTTCTTAGTCTCGATGACTGACTACATTGACTCTCTTATCTGATCTCTAGACATCTCTGCATTCTTTTATACTGTTGTTTCATCTTATCATTGTATACTTGTCAATGAAGTAAATATTTATGAACAGGATGTAGTTTAATCTTTTCACTATGTTTATCTATTTGTAGGTTAAAAACTTGATGGCCAGACAGGTCAAATAATATGTCTATGGATGTCTTTGGTCAATTCTGAACTGTTCCACAGGGTCTTCTATACTGTAACTGTTAGAAAAGCCTATCATTAAGTCTTTTCTCCATGAAGTTGCTGCTAAGTTTGGAATATTCACCATTTGCTTAGCAGCAAAGACCTTAACCAATATCCAGTTGGCCAGTTTATGACCCTAGCTAAGTGTTGTTGCTGTTCAGTGCCATGAAGTTGACTATGACTCACAGTGATCATCAGGTTGACACTCGGTCTTTTCTTGTGCCATCCTCACATTCTCTGCCTTGCTCAGGCCCATTGTTGCAGCCAGTGTATCAGATCAAGTTGTTGAGAGTTTTCCTCTATTTTGTTGACTGTTTTTCCAAGCATGATACCCTTTTTCAAGGACTAGCCCCTCCTGTCTAAATGCTCTGATTATGTAAGATGAAGTTTAACTATTCTTACCTCTAAATAGCATCTTATTCCTGCTGCAATTCAAAGACATCAATTCTTCTCTCTCATTCCTTACTCATTGTCCAACTTTCACATGCATGTGAAAAACTGAAAATACCATGACTTGGGTCAGGAACCCCTTAGAATTTAAACCTATATCCTTGGTTTTTAGCACTTGAAAAATACAGCAGTTTTCCCCAGTGCAATCTGTCTTTTTTTGTTTCTTGACTGCTACTACCATGGGTATTAATTATATATCCAAGTAAAATGAAATTCTTGACAACTTTAATCTTTTAATCATTTGTCATGTTGTTACCTATTGATCTGTTGATGGTGGTCGTGATTGGTCTAGTTTTCTAGATGTTGATGTGCTAATCCATATTGCAAGTTTTATTCTTTGATATATTTCAGTCAATGCTTTAAATCTTCTTCACTTTATGCAAGCAATATTGTGTCATCAGCTTTATGTAAGCTGTTGATGAGTCTTCCTCTAATCTTGATGCCATAATCTTTTCTAATATCTACATAGGTATCTGAAAATCCTGGCTTCTTTTTCATGATGCTATTGACTTGGTCTCATTGTATCTTCTCCATTAATACTAGCAGATTTGATACATACATACCATGTTGTTACTCTGCTGTCTGCCAACAAGATTTTTCTTTGCAGTAGGGAAGAACCTTTCTGTTGGTTGCACTAACATAGACACCATAGACTTTTTATAAAAGGAAAGATAGTAAATATTTTAGTCTTTATTGACCATAGAGTCTCCTGTGGAAACCACTCATCACTGCCTTTGTAGGGAAAAAACTACCATAAACAATATTGAAACAAATTAGGATCTCTAGTGGCATAGTCTGTGGAAGTTGTGCTGCTTACCCAAAGGGAGTACCTTTGCAGTGGTTCGAATCCACCAATGACTCTGAGGGAGAAAAATGGGCAATCTCCTCCAGTGTTAGAAACCTAATGGAGAGTCAGCTGTGAGTTGGCTCTGACTTGATGGCTTTGAGGGTTGGGGTTTTTTTTGTTTTTGTTGTTGTTGTTGACCAGAGGATCTTCTGTAGAAATGACTCAACTATGACTTTGCAGGAAAGTGTCTCCATGAACATTATACAAACAAATGGACTTTACTCTGTCCCAATGAAAGTTTATTTTAAAAAAAAATCCATGGTGGATGCCGTTGAACTCAAAGTTCAACAATGATTTGTTCTCCACCATGTATAATTAGTATGTTTTCCATCCATTATTTTATTTATTTATGCAATTTAAGTAAAATTGTTACCTGAAGGGAAAGGGAGGAAAAGCATAGTGAGGTTTCAACAGAATATTTAAACAATGGCCCTATTAAATTCTAATTAATGTTATAAAATGAAATGTATATGAATGACAGTATAAACCATTTTTTTATAAAAAAGAATTATTGTATAATTTGAATTATTTTGAAAGTAAAGAAAGAGGTTAAGGAGGGCTTGAGCATGCATGGCCCAGGTGAGCATCTGGTACAGGATGGGGCAAGGTTTCAGTCTGTGTTAGTCGATAGGTTGAAATGAGAATGGGGAACAGGTGGACAGGCCAAATAGGTGGATATAAGGTCTGACAGTGAGGACAAGAGAAGAAACCTTCTTGGTCATTCTAGGGTCAGTGGTTGGATGAGTCAAACACTAAAAGAACTGTGGGAGCAGAACCTGGAAGTTTCCAGATATGGATCCTTGAGAGGAAAGAATAGATAGTCAATGAGCTACTGCATCAAAATATCTCACCTGGAACAATTCTGTATTAGGTATATGAGCATATATCTTTGGGAAGAAGAAATGCTTTCTTTTCTCTCACTAAGGGTGCTGGGCTGGGGAACTAACAGTTTCTCTGTATGACTTTGTGCTCATATGTTGAAGGCTGCATATGTATATTTAAAATTCATATCTATTGTAGTGACAAACTCCTGAGCAATATAGATAGGAAGACATATTTCAGTTGAAGCTCGGTGAAAAACACTTTCCCGAACATCTCTGACTAAATAGCACCATGAATGAATAAACTCAGAGAGGTCCTGGGTATCTTTGAAAACTTCTCATATTACAGCCGTCTCAGACAAAGGAGGTACGCACAGACTTTTAATAAGCAGTTATCCAGACACAATATAGTATAACACGGAGAGTCTCGGTTCTGTTCCTGCGTCAGATGCATCCTAGGTATATGTTTGGTCAACCAGAGCAATATAGTGTAGTTTACGCTCACCAAGATGAGGACTCTGCCGGTATAATGGCCACATACTTTATATATTGTAAATTAGCTTGGTAGATAAGGACTCTGTGTTTTCCAAGATGAAGCTGACTGATTTCATTCTTAGTTAAATATTAGTTGACTACAGAGATTTCAGAGTCAGCTAAAACCTAGCTTTCTGGAAGTGAGGAAAGAAGGTTGTGTTTTCTCCCTAGAATCCTTCACTGGGGTCTTGGCCTTCCTACTTCCTTAGACGTGGTGAGCAGTCTTATACTATGAGACTCTCTCACCTCGTCTGTATCATGAGGGGAATGTGCTGGATGACTTTGGAGGTTACTCTCAGCTCTATAATTTGATGATCGTTTATCTTGGAGCTTTAATTTATTTATTAAAAATATTTTGAATGTGAATGGTGGAATGCAGACATGATGTGTTATTTAAATGATGTGTCCAGATGTGAAGGTGGAACAGACTGCCATTGTCAAAAGTATTTCAAACTCTCTCTTGGTGTAGTCTATCACTTTGTGTAAGATTGATATAAATACATTTTCGAAATTATGAAATAAAAATAGCCACAATTAGAATGGACTTATTTTATTCAGACTGTTCAAGTGAAATGAACATTACTAGCAGTAATGACATTTTGTCATGAACCTTGGGCAGAAGTCAGAATCTCTCCAAGGCAGGCAAAATTTTATACTTACAAGTATGAAAAGTAGGTGTATGAAGAATGGATAGTTTTAGTATATAGTGGAAAGTAAAAGGAAGATACCACATCTAAATATTTGTCTCACATGAAGACTTGGGGACATGTGATAAAGTGAAACAGAAAATCTACAAGAACAGGTATTTATTTATTTTTTTTAAATTTTATTATTTTTGTGTGAGTGTACCGTCAAATCAGATCTGACTGGTACAGGAGGAGACTGTCCCTCCTTCCCCGGCAGAGCATCTAGTGGATTTGAACCGTGTGCCTCTGGGATTGTATTTGCTGCTCCTTGCCAGTAGGCCACCAGAGCTCCCCCAAGAACAGGTATTTAAGTGGTGGAGGACAGCTAACATTGATGGGATATAACAATGACTTGTGTGAGTTTTTAGAGATTATTCCGTAAACATTAAGCACTATCATCACCATTCTGTAATTGGCTCCCCAGGGGACATACAGGTGGTGGTAGTTGGGAGCCATATGTGTCAGTGGGACACTGGAGAGTAAGTAGGAGGCATGAAAAATAGGTTTACATTCCATAATGTGATGCTTATACTTTTTGTGTATACTTTTTATAGATTCTAGAAGAGACCTTCATGATGGTTTGCTCAGCTTTCCGGAGAGTGGCTCAAGTGAGTGCATACCTGGTGAGAACAGTCAGTAGTGTTTCCAGAGGCCATCAGCACCATGCCTTGGGCACACGACCCAGCACTTCAGAGTGTGATACCCAGGGCACTGCAGGCAGCGTGGTAGAGCTGCTGGGCCGAGCGTACCCACAAGACTGCTACACCAACCTCACCAGGAAGGTCATCTCCAAGGTTGGCAGGAATCTGCACAACCAGCAGCATCACCCACTGTGGCTGATCAAGGAGAGAGTAAAGGAACATTTCTACAAGCAGTACGTGGGTCGCTTTGGGACCCCCTTGTTCTCGGTCTATGATGACCTCCCTCCAGTTGTCACAACCTGGCAGAACTTTGATAGCCTGCTCATCCCAGCTGACCACCCCAGCAGGAAGAAGGGAGACAACTACTACCTGAACCAGACTCACATGTTGCGGGCACACACCTCAGCACACCAGTGGGACCTGATGCACGCAGGGCTGGATGCCTTCCTAGTGGTGGGCGATGTCTACCGGCGTGACCAGATCGACGCCCAACACTACCCTGTGTTCCACCAGCTGGAGGCCGTCCGGCTCTTCTCCAAGCATGAGGTGAGGATGGCGGAGCTTTTACTCAAGGACATGGTGTGTGCTTCTTGGTATGAAGCCAGTGTCATCACTATAATCCTTATAACTCTTGCTTTTCTTTTGTGTAGATATACTTAAAGAACTCCTTTGTATAGGCCAAGACTTTATAATTTTGCTTGATTTTTTTGGGTTTGCAATTTGAGACCTTATTAGACTTTTGTCTTCACCTGTCTATCCATGCCTGTTTTCTCAATACAGCAATTTTCTGGGTTATGATGTTTGACTTATAGACAACGCCTACTTGCCCTTTAATGCCATGTAAATTTGTCCCTACTTTGAAAGAACAACCCCTACCCAGAACAAATTGTTCTCATTTGCTGCACCCCCAATAAGAAGTGGAACCCATGGGTATACTTGCCTTCAGAGTCACCCTTAACTGGACACGACGATGCTAACGCCTGAGCCCAGATTACCCTAGTTCTCAGGTAGTGTGGAGTCTGTGGATGGCACAAATGATTAAGTGCTCAGCGGATGAGTGAGACATTGGAGGTCTGAGTCCACCCAGACATACCTCAGAAGAAAAGCTTGGGGAACTGCTTTGAAAACTCTGTGAAGCACAGCTCTTCTGTGACACATGTGGGTTGCCCTGTGTCTAAAGGTAATCAACACTCGACACAACTGTGTGGGTTGGGTTTGGTTTTTTCTTTTCCTTACACAGGTAGTATGTTATTCATGACGTCAAACAATTAGAAAGGAGTAAATTTCTCATAGAGAGGAAAAGAACCAGTGATTATAAATTATCTTTGTTCACATGTTTCTTCCTTACTCTTGGTTTACATGATATGTGAAGATATGTTAATTCTTACAATACTTGAATTATAAATTTGGATAAAAAGAACCTTTTTGACCAGGAAATCTGATCTTATGACCATTCTAAAAACATTCAGCTTCTTGTACCTATTAAATATTAACCAAAGATAGAGAAATATTTTGAGGACAAATGATTCAAATCACTAAAATCTCAGTCTATTAAACTATATTCATGTTAAGATGTGAAATAAACAGAATTAAACCAAGCATCAGAAATGATAACTTGACCCTTTTTACTTGTCTTTCATCTATGTTCAGATATCAACATGTTTCTTAAAACAAGAAGAATAGTTTTAATCACAATGCTTCCCTATCCAAATACAAGCAAAAGAGTTGTTAAAAAAAAAAACCCACCAAAAAACTACCCCAATAGGCTAATATAAGTAACCACAGCTTTGATTTATTGACTAAGTTATATAGTGAGAGACAGCTGAACAGGAATGCCCTTCTGTCCTCTTCTTAAATGTGTCCCAGGACCTGCCATGATCCTATGTATCTGTTGTACATTAGTTTTACCCATGAAGGCCACCCAAACTTGACCTCAAAGGAGATGATATATATGTGAGCAAATAATTGAAGAAGCTGGACTATATGAAGTAGAATGTAGCATGAAGATTGGAGGAAAGCTCATCAACAATATGTGTTATGCAGATAGCACAACCTTGCTTTCAGAAGTTGGATACAAGTTGAACATTTGCCACAGAAGATCAATGACTACAACATTTTATATGGATTATATCTCAACATGATAAAAACAAAAAATCTTACCATGAGACCAATAGGCAGCATCCTGATATACAGAGAAAAGACTGAAATTCTCAATGATTTCATTTTGTTTGGATCCACAATAGTACCCTTGGTAATACCAGTCAAGAATTAAAAATAAATTTTATATTGGGAAAATCTACTGTCAGGGACCTGTTGAAAGTGCTAAAGAGCAATAATGTCAGTTTAAAGACTAAGATCAATCTGGTTCAAGTAATAGAATTTTCATTTGCCTTTTGTGCATCTGAAAGTTGGACAGTGAATAAAGATGACAGAAGTTGTAATGCCTTTGAGCTGTGGTGTTGAGAAGAGTACTGAATATCCCATAAACTGCCAAAAGAACAAACAGATATGTTTTGGAGGAAGTGCAGCCAGAGTGAAGATAAAGCATCATCTTACATACTTTATTCCTGCTGGGAGAGGCTTTTCCTTGGAGAGGGACATGATGCTTAGAAAGGGGGAGGGGTGACAAAAGAGAGGAAACCCCTCAATCAGATGGATTGACCCAGTGACTGCTGCAATGGGCTCAAATGTATCAGAAAGTTTGAAGATAGGACAGAGTAAGACAAGATTCTGATCTGTTGTTCATAGGGTCGGCATGGGTCATACTTGATTCAGCAGCACCTAATAACAAAAACAACTTCTAAAAAATTGCCCCCAAACCCAAGGATGTTTGTCTTGGAGGGGTTACAAGAGTTGAGGATGGTGAAACTATTTTGGGCATGTTGTCAGAAGGAGGCTGTCCTTGCAAAATGACATCACAGTGGGAAAGATGGAGAGTCAGAGAAAGATAAGAATGACCTAAAAAAAAAAGAATGCCCTCAAAAAGATGGATTGATGCAATGTCTGTAACAATGGGTTCAAGTGGATCAGAGGTCATGAGGGTATTGCAGAATGGGGCAGACGTCAGATCTGTAGAGCATTCGGTTCTTAAGAGTTGTACTTGACCTGATGGCACCTAACAACAACATTATAACTTTAATAGATGAAGCAAAAGTTAGGAATTATCAGGTTAATTTGAACTCTTCTATTACCTCTGCCACAGTCAGTGGGTTTACTTTTATGCTCCTCTCAATATCTAGCTTTTTTGTCATCGGTTTATGCTGATCCCTCTCTGACTGCTTATTGCCTTAAATGCAGCAAAGGAATATTATGACATACTCCATCTTGTTATTAAGCAAAAATCTTGGAATAGATGTGCAGCGTTGTGTGAGCTGAACAGGGATGAGAAGATAAATGGGATTACATGCTTGAATATATATAGATCTGGCTATGTATTTCTGCATGTATATGTTCAAATATATCTATGAATACGCTAGAACATACTGGCTTCAAAGTTATACAGACTTCCTAGCTATAACTATCACCTTGAGGGAATGAATCACAGGATCTAAGTAGAACAAGAACACAGTCTTGGGGATTATTGTGTTAAATGAACATTATTTATATATATATATATATAAGCTAAGTGAACAGTATTATCCGTGGACATAGTTCACAAATACCTAAAGGAATGTTACCATAATTTGTCATATGTCTATCATTCTATCTTGTAGCATAATGCATTAGTTATCGTATTGTTCTCCAATAGATCAGTCTCCTGTAAAGATTTACAGCATTGACTCTAGTGCCTACATCCCACTTAAAAGTCTTTTGAATGGATATCTAAGATGCAATTACCTTTCGGTCTCCCTCCAGGGTAGTAGAGAATGAAGATGACCAAAGATGTAAAGAAGCAGTTAAGGCTATTGGGTCATGTGAACCTCCGCCTTTAAAACTCTGATGGAAATCCAAAATCTCTGTATATGTTCACTGAAATTAATAATTTAAAAAACCCCACAAAACCAAAAACCAAACAAAAAAACCCCAAACAACAAAGGAGCTTAAAAAAAACAAACACAGACTCTGATGCCAGGATTACTAAATGATACCTGGTAGCTGTTGCTGGCTATTTGGAAAAAAATTGCAATAGAAGATCCTGGAGAGAGTGGAAGAACGATTATAACAAAACAAAAGCATACATAACATATATTTCTTTTTAAAGATTTCCATAGAGTTTAGTTAGTTCATAATTTATATGCTAGTTTATTTTCTTTTTCCACTCTGGCCAACATGTGTAAAAAGGGAAACTAATTTCAAGTGCAAACAATGTAGTCTTGAACTCACATCCTGAAATGTTCTGTAGGGTTAAGCAAAGTTTCTTCTTGCTTGATACAAATAAACTTTTGAAGGAAAAATGCTCCCAAAATGCCCCAAAACTGTAAAGACTAGGTTTACTACTTTAAGAATGGTGGGACCGTCAAAACTGTGGCTCTTTGTCTTCCTTCAAGTATCGAACTGAACTTATGTCTGTGAAACAACTTTTAGATGTCGTTAGGTGGTGTTTAATAGTGTCTGACTTATAGGAACTCACTATAAACCAAGTGAAACCTGCCAGCTCCTGCACTTTCCTTGCAGCCATTGTTGTAGTCATTGTGTCTATTGAGTTTTCTTCTTTGTTGCTGCTATCTGGTTACTAGGTTGGCTCTCCTGAAAACATGTCCAAAAGAATGTGTGATGAGAAACTACTTCTGAGAAACACCCTGGCTGTATTTATAAGACAGATTGTTTATTTTTTTTTTTTACAATCCTGGGATAGTCAATATTCTTCACCAATACCATAATTCAAAGAGATCAGTTCTTCTTTGATCTTGCTTATTTATTGTCCAACTTTCAGATGAGTATGTAGCCATTGGAAATGTTCTTGTTTAGATTAAGGCTAACCTTAATCTTTAAAGTGACATCTTAGACAAGAATATAAAGTAAATGGTAACATTGGGAGGTAGTACACTCTCATATAGGAGATAAAAAAAAATGAACTATTTGCTCAGAAAAAAAATCTCAGAAGATAGGAAAGGCTAGGAAAGAAAGACAAACGGAAATAAAACAGAGTGGGAGTGGACAGGGTGCTGTTACTGTGTGGTCATTGAAGTCAGCGTCAAAAAACCAAAATGTGTATGGATTGTTGAGTGGCAAACCAATTTGCTCTATAAAAGTACACCCAAGTCATACTCCCTTCCCCTTTCCCTTTCCCCCTCCCTCTCCCTCCTCCTCTTCTTCTCCCTCTCTCTCTCCCTCCCCCACCACATGCACTTGCTCACACACACCCCAAAAGAAAAGAAAAAAACAACCTACAAACCCTCAAACGGATTAAAAAAAGGAGAAAAAAAAACCAAAAACTTCTCAGTGGAATGAAAATAGGCAATTTGTGGAAAACAAAAATAAGATACACACACACACTCACACACTCTCACATGTATGTATACCTACCCTAGTGGTGTAGTAGGTAAAATGCTGTGCTGCTAACTGAAAGGTAAACAGTTGTCGTCCAACTTGTTCTTTTCAGGAAA